GTGAAAAAAAAAAAAAAAGGAAGACCCCCAATGAGATGGATAGCTATAGTGGCTGCAGCAATGGACTCAAGCATGGCAAAATTGTGAGGATGTGAGGATGGCGCAGACTGGGCAGTGTATCATTCTGTTGTATATAGAGTCACTATAAGTAGAAGCTGGTTTGATGGCACCTAACAACGACAGCCTCAAAAACCCTGTGCAGGGTCACTATGAGTCGGAACTGACTCCACAATACGTAACAACGTCATCAACAACAAACAACAATGTTGTTGTCATCATTAAGTGTCATCAAGTCAGTTTCGACTCATAGTGACCCTCTATAGGGTTTCTGAGGAGCAGTTGTTGAGCTTGAACTGCCAACCTTATGGTTTAAAAACCAATGCTGATACTACAGCACCATACCAGAAGTCCAACAACAATAATATATATCAATTTATTATAATATGCATTTAACATGATATTATTAAATGTTAAATTATATTTAATCATATTGCTTTCCTTTTTTGGAGAAAAGATAAGTTATAGTGAAGCTGTTCTACCCTCATTCTTTGCATATTTAACATGTTGAAACCACAAATCTTAGTGAAATAGGCGGCTGATAAACTCAAGACTCAAAGATAGAATTGCAATAACAAAGCAACAACAATGTTGATACCTTATACTCAAAGCTCTTGATGTTGTCATAGCCAATCCACTCGGTGCCTTTATAAGCATATGGAACTTTCTGGTCTTCAATCCAGGCACTTGTGGCTCCACTCAAGAATGTACAGATCTATGAGGGTATTAAGAAGGCAATGTTGAGCACAGAACACATCTATATCATTTATTAGAGGAAAAAGGACTTAAACAGGAAGAAACATAAGAAATAGAAACAGGTGGGAAAAGAACACTATGGGATTTACATTAATCACACATTTTTCTAGAAAGTGATCTTATTTCACAACATGAAGGTACACGTTTCTACAGAAATCAGGCTATAAACATAAAATGAAGTTCTAATTCAGTACAAAGCAGTTATTTACTAAATGGGAAGCATGATCATCCACTAGCTATACAATTTGTCATGCTGTAGTGGCTTTCATGCTTCTCTGATGCTGGAAGCTATGCAACTCGTATTTCCAATACATACCAGCAGGGTTACCCATGATGGAAAGATTTCAGCAGAACTCCCAGACTAAGATAGACTAGGAATAAAGAATTGATGATCTACTTCTGAAAAGTAGCCATTAAGAACCCTATGGATCACAATAGAATATTGTCTGATATAGTACTGCAAGATAAGCCCCCCTGGATTGGAACACACTCAAAATACACAAAGGCCACAACAATGGACTTGAGCTTCTCAATGATGGAGAAGATGGTGCTGTACTGGGCAATGTTTCATTCCATTGTTCTTTATTGGACTCAGCATGACCATATGTGCTGTAGTCATTCTTTTTGCTTGAGTTTTTGGTAAACACTGTTAATCTGTCATATATCAGTCTCAGAATCCTTCTCAGCACAGGATTTGAGTAAATGTCATCAATTCAAGTTGTTAGGGAGGTGAAATTCTTCAGCTGTGCATATGAGTATTAGAATTCAATATAGCTTTGGGGCTGTGGGGAAGATGGGGTTACACATTTCAAAACCAGAAAAAAGGATTATGGTTGAATTATTTTTAAAGTGAAAATAATTCTGGAGCCCTAAACCTGTCTTTTTCAAGTTGTTTATGCTCAGAATTATGATATACCAGAGTGTAGAGACTCAGGGAAAGAAGGACAATAGGGTAAGTTGGAGAGTAAAGGAATTTCTCATGGAGTACTTTAAAGCCAGAATTGGATGTACTGTTGTTGTTAGGTGTCACTGAGTCCATTCTAACTCATAGTGACCCTGTATAGGGTTTCTGAAGCTGTAAATCTTTACAGGAGCAGAACGCCTCATCTTTGTCCCATGGAGTAACTGGTGGGTTTGAACCGCTGACCTCATGGTTAGTAGTCCAGTGTTTATCCTACAGTGCCACCAGCACTCCTGAATTAGCTATGTAGTTTACCTCATAATAAGCCCAGAAGCCAGCCTCACGCGTGTATGGACCAGATGACCCTGCTCCAGAGACTGGGGCACAGACTGAGGTGTCAGAGGTGGTAAGCCGAAAAGTCCTCCCATAAGTAGGGAACCCCATAATGAGCTTCTCTGCAGGGACCCCATTGTCTCTCCAGTACTTCATGGCATATTCCTGAAGAAAGAAACCAAAACATTATTTCCTCACCAACATTTGTCACATTTGATTGACAATGTTTAGCTCATTGTTCCCCAAAGAGAATGCCTTCCGCAACTCCTTCCCCATCTCCCCTTTGAATATGATTTGAGGATCTTCCTTACACAGTTGAAATAACGTAAGTCTCCTTGGTCCTTGGATCCTACATGCAGGGGACTGTTGTGTCCCGTGCATGTGTCCCAGCCACCATGGAAGTCATAGGTCATCACACTGATAAAATCGAGGAGCCTGGAACAAGAGATTTTGAGCAACTGGACTTTGGGGGTGTAGACAACTAAAGAGTAAGAAATGGCAGCCGTGAGAAGCCTATGTCAAGCAGATATCTTTATGACGCCACCAATGTGCCACCTTGGGGATGGAGGATTATAGGGAGCATATTATCTTCTATAACTCCCACAGGGCTGGGCAGAAAGTCTCCTTAATCTCCTTAACACAAACACAGAGAAAAACCAAACCAAAAAGTCTATTAAACGGAGGGTGTTACAGTACATGTCTCAGGAGGAAACATTTTGATGACCATTAGAAACCCACATGAGTAACTCTCCTATTGCTTTCAATAATATTCTTGATTTTGAAGTCTTTTTCTAAAGAAATTTCTAATAAGGATTGCTATTATAATGATTTATTATGGTCTTGAATCCTAAAATCTATTCCTCTTCTCCCCAAATCCCACCCAACCATCGTGACAATTCAAAGGGCTCACTACTTGATCTCCAACCACTAAGTACACTGACCTCTTTAACAATAGAAGGTATCGACTTTCCCAAATCTCCTATGTTCACATAATTGTTGGATATTATGAGCTCTACCAAAAAGTTTAGGAAGCTCTGCTCTAAGATTTGGAGGTCCAGAGAGATCCAGTTCACTCACTTTCCAATCTCTGCAATTTCATATCCTGCATCAATGGTTCCTTTGCCAGCAGATACAGCTGCTGTGATAAGCAGCCTAGGTTGTCCAGTTTCTTTCGCCTCTTCTTCAAAAGCTTCTAACATTTCCTGAAGAGAGAGAGAAGTGTAGATTTGAGTGGCCATCTTCATTGTCTGTGCATTATAATATGCATCTCCTGGATTGGCTTCCAATTTATAGCAAGACCCTGTTTTCTAGGAACAGCCTGTAATACACAGGATGGTAGAGTATGACTTGAAACAATAGAAATAGACACTAAGAGTTGTTGAACCCAAGTCATACTTAAGACCATTTCAGAGAACGTTTAGTAACTCTATGGGCAGAGACTCTAGGACCTGCCTTGTCTATTCTCACTTTGGCCTCCCCTTTTAAGCCCTTGTTGTTGTTGTTAAGTGCTGTCAAGTCAGTTCCAACTCAAAGTGACCCTGTATAGGGTTTCCATGGACTGGCCGGTGAGTTTGAACCACCAACCTTATGGTTCAAACAAACCTGGCAGTCCAGTCCTTTACAGAGAGAGAGAGAGAGAGAGAGTCCTGGTGTGGTACTGTGGGTTAATGTAATGGACTAGAGAGTCGGTTTGAACTGCAAGGTTGGTGGTTCAAACTCACCAACTGCTCCTCAGAAATCCTATATAAGGTCGCTACGGGTTGGAACCAACATGATGGCACTTAACAACAACAACATATGTAACTATACATATGTATCCAGGTTGATAGTCCAACCCACCAGCTATTCCTTGGAAATTCTATATAGGGTCACTATCTATGAGTCAGAACTGACTCGATGGCACTTACAAGAACAACTATTTTTACATACACACACACACACACACACACATATATATATATATATATAAATATGTGTGTATGTGAATTTATTTTCACATATATATGTGTGTGTGTGTGTGTATATATTTGTTTTCATATATGTGTGTGTGTGTGTGTGTGTATATAATATATATATGTGTGTGTGTATATATATATACACATGTATATATGTGTGTGTATATATTTGTTTTCATATATATATACACATAGTCATATGTGTATTTTTTTTCATATATATCTTTCCCAACCCCTTTGCCTTCTGCCTTAGAACATTCTTCATGATCCTTTTTATTCTTTATATCTCACATGTCACTTCCTCTCAAAAGACTACTGTTGTATTAGCTCTTAACCACAATTTGCAATCATCTGATATATTTGGAGGGTGTCTGTGTCCTCCACTATGCTGGAAGCCCCACATAACAGGCATCATGTTTGTCTTGTTTGTGGCTCTAGCTACACTGTAAAGTAAAGTTCTGGAATCATAACAGTTACTCAATAAATTCTTACTGAATGAATGGCTGATATAAAGAATGGCTCCTTCCCAATTCAAGGATTTCTTCCTTGGATTCCTTCAGATACTTTGTCTTTTCAATAAATTCTCTTTTGGCATAAGCTAGCTAGAAAGAATCTATTTCTGTTGCTTTAATTAATCAAACCTCTTAACCTGAGGACAGCAACCTAAAGTGTCCCCAGAAAACACAGCTCTCATTTTAAAAAATCCACGAAGTCACTAGCTTCTCTACAAGATGATCCATGGGAGTGTTCCATTCTTACCTTAATCAAAATGGTAAATCGCTGCTTGTCCTCTGGTGGACTTCCTCGAGATCCTGGGTACTCTATATCAAGGTCAATGCCATCAAACCCGTGTTGACGAAGGAAGTCAATTACAGAGCAGATGAAGATCTTGCGGTTGGCAGCCATGGAGACCATGCTGGTGAATCTAGGCAGAAAGCTCATCTATAATAACATCAGCAGACCCCAGGAATCCTCCCTTGATCAACTTCGATACCAATTGGTATCATACATTTCATAATAACTTCTGCTGAATTTTTACCATTAACATAAAGGAATTCAAAACTATCAATGTTAATCAATATGGAGTCCTGGTGTGGAGCTGTCAGATCAGCACTAGACCATTAACTGCAGAATCAGTGGTTCAAACTCACCAGCCCCTCCTTGGAAACCCTATACAGGGTCACTGTGAGTCAGAACCTATTCAACAGCACTTAACAACAAAAACGTTAATCAACAGATGTGTTTTTATCATTTTTTTTTTCTTCAGTATATCTCGTTTACAAAAGAAATATTTTCCTTGGAAGTTGTACCTAACTAAAATTTTAAAAATCAATAGGATAGTATCAATCTATTTATTCATAATATAAAAGGTTGTTATTGTTGTTAAGTGTCATTGAGTCGATTCTGACTCATAGTGACCCTGTACAGGGTTTCTGAGGCTGTAAATCTTTACTGGAGCAGAAAGCCTCATGTTTCTGCCACGGAGCAGCTGGTAGTTTTGAACTGCTGACCTTAAGGTTCACAGCCCGATTTGTAACCACTACGCTACCAGTGCTCCTTATATAAAAGGTGCATGCATATTAATAGTGAAATTTCTCAGGGAACAGTGGTTTTGACACTATATTTCTTTGAATCTAAGGTGTTCATTTTTTATATTTACTATTCTGGTAGCGTAGTGGTTACGAATCGGGCTGCGAATCATAAGGTCAGCAGTTCGAAACTACCAGCGGTTCCGCGGGAGAAAGATGAGGCGTTCTGCTCCCGTAAAGATATACAGCCTCGGAAACCCTGTGTAGGGTCGCTATGAGTCGGAACCGACTCCACGGCACATAACAACAACAACAGCATTTCAAAAATTAAGATGTGATTTTATATATATACATTTTATATATATTTATATACTCAATGAAACATTTCTCACACCCAAATAATGTACTATTTATGTTTATACTGAGTCATGTATTAGAAAGTGTCTTAATATCTAGAAAATGTAGTTCCTCTTCCACATTGAACTTAAAATTCAATTCTCATAACCCTAAGAAGGAGACATTTTAACCGTCGTTTTTAGATAAAGGTCAGGACTTCAAGGTTAGGATTTCAAAGATACACAACAACAATAACAACAACACTTTCTCCACCTGCAGACATCAGAGCTTCCTTTGCAGGTGCTAGCCTCCATTCCATGGGAAGAATTCCTTTTCATCTCCTTTCTCTGGATCACTTCCCATCCAGTCTGAGGGACTTTGTTTTACCTCCACCCTCACCCCTGCCATGGAAAGATTCTTACTTCTGAGTGCCAAAGTTCCAGCCGCCAATGGCCAGCAAGTTGACCAGATCTCCATTGCTGCAGAAATATACAAAGAACAACATTTAAGAGAGATTTCTGTGAATCTGTGGGATGCAAACATTGGGAAAGCAATTCTCCTCCTCATCCTTGACTCTCTGGTGAATAGACAGCTGTCAAATACAGCTTCTAAAATCCCCATGGCAAATGTTCCTCTCCCATCTGCCCATGTTAATGTTTCCATCACAGTTTATCACATGTGTCAGAAATTTACACAACCTTTTCAGAAAGAAACTATCTACTAAGGACTTTGTGTCTCAGAATAAAATGAAAGTTGTCCATTATTCCTCTCACCATTCCCACCCCCATCTCCTATTCACTGTAAGCTCAATTCCTACTAACCGTTCTTTAAGAGCTCGGAACTGAGGATACAGGACGTCAATGTCATTCCATTCAAAGGGAGCAATCTTGTTATCATTCATAGTGGCGAAGGCATATACCAGGTGTGTGCATAGACATGGGTCCACATCCTTGGGGAAGAATTTGGCTGGTTCTGGTCGGTACTGAGACCAGTTGGTAAAGTAGCACACTAGCTTATAGGCTGAACCTGAGAAGAGAAAGTGGCAGTCATTGTGATCCAAGACTAACTGCCTGTTTCAATGGCTAATGGTTTCGTCAAGAGGAAAGATCACCTTAGAGTTAACATGATGGAAGAGCAAAGATGTCAGCTTGAGGACTAAGGTGCGCCTGACCCAAACCATGATATTTTCAGTAATCTCCTATGCATGCGAAAGCTGAACACTGAATAAGGAAGACCATAGAAGAATTGATGCTTTTGTGTTATGGTGTTGGAGGAGAATATTCAAAGTGCCATAGGCTGCCCATAGAAACAACAGATCTACGTTGGAAGAATTGCAGCCAGAGTGCTCCTGGGAGGCCAGGATGGCCAAACTTCGTCTCTCATACTTGAAACATATTGTCAGGAGGGACCAGTAAAGTGGCAGCATCAATGGGCTCAAGCATGGCAACAATGGTGATATTGTTCCAGGATTGGGCAGTGTTTCGTTCTGCTGTGCATAGGGTCACTATGAGTCGGTACAAATTCTATGGCACCTAACAACAATCATACTTGCTAGCTGCTGCTACATTCCGTTACCATGCCTATGGAAGAGACCTAAACATCTTTCATGATTTAGAAAACTATAACAATTTGCCACAATCAACATATAAGGTATAATCCAATTTGCCATCACAGACGCAGGTGATCAGAGTAATCAATACTTATGCTTCCTGGATTCTATGCATAGCTTCATAAGAAACTGTCCAAGTTAATTATCAATAAAATGGCTAGTTACATTTGGCAAATGGCATATGATGTGACTGGTGCTTTATTTAGAGCATATACATGCATTATTTTGCTTTAATTTTATTTCTTATAACTCTAGAAGAGGACTATTTTTATTTTTTTTAGAAAACTTTATTGTAATTTCACTGAACGTTTCTGGAGCAAATTGGTTTTCCATTTGAAAATTTATGCCTTTTGTTTTGTGACGTTGGTAGCAGTCCCCACAATGTTAACAGCATTCATCTCATTTCCTCTCTGTCTTCCCTATTCCATTATTCTTCTTTACCGTCCCTTCCTGCCTTCTGATCTTTATCACTGAGCAAATGCCGCCCTTTTAATCTTGGATTCTAGTTTGTTCTAAGGAGTTGTTCACCTTATGGGCCTGATTGGTTAGCTGACACTTGAGCCACAGGATAAGTTCAGTTCCAAGATTGAAGGATGTCTAAGGGCCATAGTCTTAGAGGCTCCACCAGCCTCTATCTGACCAGTATGCCTGGCCTTTTTTATATTTTGAGTTTGGAGCTACGTTTTTCTCCTACTCTCTATTGGACCTCCTATTGTGATCCCTTTCAGAATAGTCAGCAGTGGAGCTGGGTACCATCTAGATCTTCTGGTCTTATAGTTGTGCAGGTCAAAGTTCACGTAGGCCATTAGTCCTTTGGACTAGTTATTTCTTTGCATCTTGTATTTACTTCACTCTTCTTTGCTCCAGGTGGGGAGAGACCAGTAGTTTCAATTTAGATAGCCATTAACAAGTTTCTAAGACTCTAGTTAGTCACTACTCTTCCAAGCAGAGTGTAGCACAGTTTACTGGTGGGATATGTTGTTCCAATTTGACTTTGATGTCTCCTGAGATTGCTCCTGAGCTCCAAGACTCAAATACTCATTCCTGCTAGATGTTTGGCTATGGCTAAAAAGTTACCATAACTTCACGTCCTGTAAACTGTACTATATTCATGGAAATATTTGCAGCATACTCATAAACACATATGTAGAAATATGCTCTGTCAAATCAATATGTACATCTGTTCAGAATCTGTGTCTATTTATGAATTTACTCATGGATTATTGTTGTTACTGTTATTTCAGGTTGTGTATGTAATGGTGTTTACCTCTTGTGCTCCTCCGAACATTTTACTTTGCCTTGAATTTATCGTTATTTCTGTATGAGGCCCAGAAAAATTGACTTAGTCAGATTTGCAAGGTTAAAATTAAGGCCAATTCATTTATATATTTAATTGCCAAATATTTACTGTGCATCTACTATTTCTGGACAGTCCTTACTCTAAAGTTCATTCTCTTTCCACTATTTTCTACTGGACTCTCCTTTGTGGGTCTCCATGTCTCATATTTATAATGCAATGCTCAATAATTAGAAAGAATATGAGAACATTTATGGAAACAAAAAGATAAACTAAAAAGATGTAGAGGTAACATAAACTAATATTGTTGCTGTTGTTAGGTGCCATTGAGTCAGTTCTGACTTCTAGCAACGCTATGTACAAAAGAACAAAACACAGCGGCCTGGTCCTACACCATCTTCACAATCACTCCTATGTCTGAGTTCATTGATGCAGCCACTGTGTTATCTTCTTGAGGGCCTTCCTCTTTATGCTGATCCTCTATCTTAGCAGACATGATGGTTTCCTCTAGAAACCTTCTGACAACATGCCCTAAGTACAATAGACAAATTATCGTCATTCTTGCTTCTAAGGAGCATTCTGGCTGTACTACTTCCAAGATAGATTTCTTTCATTCAAATGGCATATGTAGCATACTAGCTTATAGGCAGAGCAGTCCTTGGTATATTCAATATTCTTTGCCAATACCATAATTCAAAGGCATTGATTCTTTTTATGTCTTCCTTATTCATCGTCCAACTTCCTCATGCACATAATGCGATTGAAAGTCCCATAGCTGCATCAGACACACCCGAATCCTAAAAGTGACATCTTGACTTTTTAATACTTTAAAGAGGTATTTTGCAACAGATTTGTCCAGTGTGGTATGTTATTTGATTTCTTAACTACTGTTTACATGAGTGTTGGTTGTGGATGCAAGTAAAGTGATATCCTTGGAAACTTCAATCTTTTCTCCATTTATCATGATATTGATTATTGGTACAGTTGTAAGGACTTTTCATAAGTAATTTATTCATATATTTTTTAGCATTTTCTTCAGAATTATTTACTTTATTATAGAAGACAGTTTTCAAAAACATTTCTGAATATCATTTAATTATAGAGGACATGTTATTGGAGAAAATAAAATTATTAAGATGGAATAAGAGGTCAGACTGTCCTGTATTAAATATGTCATAACAATACAGAAGATGTTGCCATAGCAACCTGGACTTCATGTCTCAAACAAAAATAATATATGAGCTTTTTTGTGTGTGAGAAAATAAATTCACATTGTTTTGCTTCCAGTACATGGGGGGAAAAAAAACTTCCTTCTTTGTTCTCTTTTCCTTCTTTTTCTTTTTAAACTGTCTTCCCTATCACCAAAGTTAGCACATGTCTACACTCTACCCAGGAAATAATCCTCCTTTCCCTCCCACCCTTGGTAGCCATCATAGAAAGTTCATTATAAAAATGAACACATTTTCTTGACTTTTATAATAGTGGTCTCATACAGTCTCTATCCATTCAATCAACTAATTTTACTCAGCGTAATGTCCTTCAGGTTCTTCCATGTTATGGGGTTTTTTGTAACTCTATGGTTGTTCTTGAATATTGCGTGTGATATTAGTGATATTGTTTGACAATTTTTGCTTTCTGTTGGATCACCTTTGTTTGGAATGGGCATAAGTATGGATTTCTTCCAGTTAGTTGGCCAGTAAGCTATCTTCTAAATTTCTTGGTAGAGATGAGTGAGTGTTTCTGGCACTTGCATATGAGTGGTGAACTGAAACTAATAGGTAATAGAAATGGCACCAGACCTGAATTTTAATCCTGATGCTCAATAACAGAGGAAAAGACACTTCCCCTCTACATACCTTCATTTTCTTATCTATAAAGTGAGGAATTTGGTATTCGCTCTTTCATTGCCTCTCTGGCATTCTGAGACCCAACCAATCAAGTTGGCAACTTAGGGTTCTAGTCTTGACTTCATCATGGAGGGAGAAGAAAAAGCAGAGCTGAGAGACATTAGAGAAAGAGGAGTAACTATTAGGAAGATAACAGTGTGGGCCAGAGGTTGTGTTGCTCCTTACCTAGTTGCACCTGCAGCAAGACAGCCAAGCCTGAAACAAAAAATACAAACACATAAAGTCTGCAGCCTGGCTCCTCAGTTAGAGCCCAGGAGACACACAGGATTCAAGGACCTAAGGGCTTTGGGACTTAAGTTTCTGAGCTTCAGGGCCCCAGTTCATCATTCCAAGGTTGGAGCTCAAATTGTTTAGCTCAGAGTCTGAGGCATGCAAGGAATCCCATGTAGAAACCTCAGTGAAACAGATTTCTGCTGTTCCTCCCCATTGTCAGGGATACCTCACAACCTGTGAGAAATATGAGCAAAAAGGTAGAAGACTTACAGGCCCAGAGCAGCATCCTTCCCATCATGCCTCCACACTGGTAGCCTTATTCATTCTCTTGGCCCAAACCTTTATAAGAAAGAGACCCCTTTTTATCACTGTGGGAGCAGCACAGCTGCCACCTCGTGACCACAAGTCCCCAAGGCTATCACACCCTCATGTCCACCCATCCCAGAGTCACAAGAGTGAGCACTCCCCCACCACCACAAGGAAAGATAAACCCACAAAGCTCCATCACCAGCCCAGAAACTGCTTATACCTGGAGGCCCAGTCCCTTTCCTGCTGGGGACATTCTCTCCACAAGAAGAGAATGAAGGGTGCTGGAATATCAGGGTCCCAAGGTACAGGGCTTAAGTCAGAAAAGCCCTTAGGAACTAGGTGGAGATATTGGAAGTTTCATTTAAGCATGTATGTTTCCCACTGCAGGACCTGGGCCCACACCCAAAACCAGTGATGAAAGTCATGATAAGGATTTGGTTCACAAAAGGGGCATAATTAGACTCCTCTCTCCCCTCGCTCCCATTTGCTGCCACAGACCTATGGAATGGTGAGGCTGCCAGTTCCCTTCCCTTCTTCCAGCCCAAGGTAAGTATGGTGAAAGGAGAGCTGCTGTAACAGAAATGTGGACCTTGTATCTTCCCTCTTTCTCTTTATCCTGGAAGGTGTGGGAGGCCATAAAATGTAAAGATCATTGCGGCCTAGATTTTAACTTTTTAGGATAAACAGACTAGAGTGGAGGGAGACAAGAAGGTAAAATGTGGTCGGGAGGGTGGGTCAGTGCTACGTGGAGGCAGGTGTTGCAGGTGTTAGGGCCTATTTATCTCACCTCATTGCCCCCAAGGCCATAGATTTGCCACTGCCAGCAGCTGTACCCCACAGAACTGGAGCTAAGCCAAGCAGATAAGCTAGGGCACAGGTACAGGGACAACTGCCAGCTTTAGACTGAAAGTGGGTCCTTGGGCTGAGCCAAGAATTTCCTAACTGAGTATCTTTCCAGCCTTCTTAAGAAGTAGCTGTTTCATATTCCCTTAGTTTCATACTCATCTTTGGATTCCTAGTACCTGACACAGACAAGGCACTGGATAGAAGTTGGCTGAACAAACGGATGGCTCATCTTCAACAGTTCTGGTGTTGGACAATCTTATGCCTAATAACGATCAACTACCAAGCTATTCCTAACGTTATCACTTAACTATTGTTGTATACAAACTACTCCAAAGCATAGCCACTTAAAACATTCAGAAGTATTTACTATCTCATATGGTTTATGTCAGATAGAAATTCAGGAGAAATTTAGCTGAGTGATCACTGAAGCTGGTGATACTGATTCTGGTTTGAATCTTTTCATACGGTTGCAGACAAGCAGTGGTTACGAATCGAGCTGCTAACCTCAAGATCAGCAGTTTGAAACTACCAGCTGTTCTGAGGGAGAAAGATGAGGCTTTCTGCTCCCGTAAAGATTTACAGCCTCAGAAACCCTGTGCGGGGTCACTATGAGTCAGAACCAACTCCACGGTACATAACAATAACAACAAAGTCATTAAAGACTTGTCTCTCTCTAAAGGATTCACGCTTAAGATGACTCAACCACATGGCTGGTAACCTGGTGCTAGCTATTGGCTGGAGGTCTCTATATCGCATTTATGGGCCTCTCTATCTGGAGTCCTGGTGTGGCACTGTGGGTTAATGTGTCAGATTGCAAAGTCATTTGAACTGCAAGGTCAGTGGTTTAAGCTCACCAGCTGCTCCTTGGAAACAGGGTCACTATGGGTTGGAATCGACTCGATGGCACTTAACAACAACAACATATGACTTCTGGAGTGGCAGCTGACTTCTCCCAAGTAAATGATCCAAGATAGAGCACAGTGGAAGTCATATACTCCATTACTCCTACAATGTCTATTCAGGACAATCTTACTCAACATGGCAGGAGACAACAGAAGGCCCTGAAAACCAGGAGCCAAGATTCATCAGGGACCATTTTGGAAGTTGGCTACTACACTGCCAAAACAGTTGTTGAATGCCCACTGTGTCAAGTTATTGTGCTAAATACTGAGGATTCAAAAATTTAGAGACACCATTCCTGCCCTACAGGAACTCAGACTAGTGGGAGAGAGAAATATTATTGTAGGGTTGCATAAGGAATCCCACCGAAGGGTTGCTTATTAATAGTCTCCCAAATCTCTGATACATCCAACTAGAGTTACCTAGAAGAGTTGTTGTTGTTGTTAAGTGCTGTCGAGTCGATTCTGACCCATAACGACCCTGTACAAGGTTTCTGAGGCTGTAAATCTTTACAGGGGCAGAAAGCCTCATCTTTCTACCACAGAACAGCTGGTAGTTTCGAACTGCTGACCTTAAGGTTCGCAGCCTAATTCATAACCACTACGCTACCTTGCCCATGGCTCTCCAGGGATATATGAGTGATACTTAGAGTGTGGTTAATAAATGCTGGGTTTTATTATTATCCTTTCTCTGGACTTGCCACCTGACTCAGGCTTACATTATTAGACTCCTCAGTGTGCTGACCTGACTCCATCCAGCTGTTTTACTAACCCCTTTGTACATATCAAATACTCAGGATGACAGCTCTTAGCTATGGAACTTCTATCCACTAAGCTACTCCTCAAGCAATGGGCCAATCAATGTCTTTTTTAGATTAAATGATATTCACCTCCTCCTTCATTTGTCTTTGATAGGTAAAAAGATACATTGGTATACAGACAGTAACCAAGCCCAAGAGCTTTATGGAAAATTAGTAGCCTTACCAACTACTAGGTGTCCTGGTTTGGGACTATAGGATAAGCACTGACTGCTAGTCACAAGGTCAGTAATTCAAATCCACCAGTTGCTTCTTGGAAACCCTATATACGGTCACTATGAGTCAGAACTGACTCAACAGCACATAACAACAACAACAACCCAACTACCTAAATATTAACCCTCAAGAGCCCCCAAATTTTCATGTCTTACTACTTGTCTAAACTTAAGGTGTGCCTTATTCCTTCAAGGAAAACTTCTCCCCCATTTTAGAATAGCTTGAAAATTGTCTTGAAAATCTTTCTGATCCCTTGAGGAGAAACACTCAACTTACCATTCACCTCCTACTTCCATCATCACCTGAGCAACCCCAATAATGCAAAAACACTGAGTCACAAATACTCAGTGCCATTATGGAGAAAACAAAATTATTTAAGGGTTCCTAGTAACTTGAAGGACTCCTGGTGTGGTGCTGTAGAATAAACACTGAATTGCTAACTGAAAGGTCAGCAGTTCAAACCCATCAGCTTCTCCTTAGAAACCCTATACAGGGTTGCTGTGAGTTGGGCCCAACTTGAAAGCTCTTAACAACAATAACAGTGACTTGAAAATGAAAAAATACAATTGTACAAGTGTAAAAGTAATTCTGAACTTTTTATTATTTTCCACTAATAATCAAATGCTTTTTTCCACTAATAATTAAATGCTTTCAACAATATTTTGGCATCTCATTAGATAAATCTTTATTATTTTATTTTCACTAATGCACTTTTACTAATGAAACTAACAATCAACTTGTCAAATTAAAACACACACACAAACTTCTAGGATACTGAATTTTAATGCATTTAGAAATAATACATGAGAAAGGATATATAATATTGAGTTTTCCCATGTAGGGACATGATTACTTTCTGATGGATTTCAAAAACCACAAAGAAAAGAAATGTTTTTATTGTATTCTATAATGATTTTCTAGGGCCTAGCAGAATGCCTGGGAAATAATAGATGTTCATTAAATATTTGCTGATTCTTTATCTCTATCAACTTTAGGTAAAATGTAAATAAATTATGAAGGTTTTCCTGTGCTTAGGAAATATTTGTTTCCTAAATGTTCACTAGAATTAAAAAAAAAAATGTTTGCTAGAACTATCTGGCTGTGGTGGCTTTTAGGGAGACTATTTCTAATAGCATTTTCGTTGTTCTTTATGATTTATATATGAGAAAAAGAATTCTGTAAATGATTGAGTAACAAGGCGAGTTCATGTGTCATATATTTATTGAGTTGAAACAAATTCCAAGAAGATTCTGTGTCCTTCAGCCCCATCCTTCCAATTTAAGGCCAGTTACAGCACTTGCAGTTTTCGTCAAACACAAGACCTTCCGCACACCTTTTGGCCACAGTGTTACCATTAGCACACTCAAAAAATCTGGATGGATCATCAGGGTCCCCATAAATGCCATCAGCTTTGCCTTCACAGAATGTACTGGGGGGCGTGGGCTTGGGAGGCTCTGGAGTGATGCAGCCTACGTTCAAAATGACAAGAACATCATCAGCAACAGTTCACAAAAACTACTAGACAAATGAGATGAGAAAAGTCCTCCCTGTTTAATAAACTCAAGGTAAACCAGATTTGAAGTTGTTATTGTTTTTATTGTTGTATTTTGTCTTTTGTAAACTCCAACCCACAAGTGAGCAGTTCAAACCTACCCAGAGTTGCCTCGGAAGAAGGATGTGGCAATCTGCTTCCATAAAAATTGTTGTCGTCGCATGTTGTCAAATCAGTTCTGACTCATAGCCACCCTGTATAGGGTTTTCAAGAGTGGCTGGTGGGTTTGAACTGCCGACCTTACAATTAGCAGTCCAGTGCTTATGATACAGTGCTATACCAGGGCCTTCCATAAAGATTACAATCAAGTAAACCCTTGGAGCAGTTCTACTCTATAGAATAATAGGATCATCATAAAATCTGAGGTTATTACTGTTGTTAAATGTCATCAAGTCAATTCAACTCATAGCAACCCCATATAGGGTTTCCAGGGAGCAGTTGGTGGGTTTGAACCACCAACCTTTCAGTTAGCAGTACTGTGCTCCACACCAGAACTCCAAAATTTAAGATAGGAAGTCCTTATTCAACAAAGATTGGGACAGAGATGCAGGTCATTTGTCAAAAGTGAAGAGAATTCTAGTTTCACTTCTTTCACTAACTAGAATAGAAAAA